GTTATAGGCAATATACGTGAGCTCATTAATTTTTTTGTCTACATTCATCCCGACTTACCCTAATATTAGAGCGCGATATCGAATGTTATAGTTAAGTTGTATAATAATTAGTATAATATTATTTACCGCTTTCATATAAATAACATATAACAAGAGACACAAATAGAATATGAGAAATTGATAAACTAGTATCAAAGGGTGGATCAAGGGGGAACAAGCGTACTTCTGTACTTCCACGTACTTCTCTGTACTTCCACGTACTTCTCTGTACTTCTTCGTACTTCTCGGTACTTCTCTGTACTTCTTGGTACTTCTTGCTACTTCTCCGTACTTCTTCGTACTTCTTCGTACTTCTTGGTGCTTCTTGGTACTTCTCTGTACTTCTCTGTACTTCTCCGTACTTCTCCGTACTCCTTCGTACTTCTTAGTAGTTTCGTCTACCTCGACGCTAATCTCTATATTTGTACCATTGCTACTTTATATGAATGTTGTTGTTATCACTTCAGTTTTTATTAGTTATGTTTAAATAACACTTCAAACTCATGAATAATATGAAATCATATACCGGGTGTCCCAAAAGTCATGATCACTTAAGATTTGCGTATAAGTCCATTATTAATCAAGCTTAGTCCAATAGTTCTTTTATATTTTGAAGAAAGGATCAGTAAATTTTGTTTCACAAAGACGAAGTTCATAAATACTTTTTGAAAGTAATACCGTTGACTTCATTACAAGAGTTTAGATTTTTTTCCATTTCAAAAAAACATAATAGAAAACTTTTTCTTTCTTGTATCGGTTTCTTTCTTTATTTTAGTCTTTAAATTATAGAGATATTTTAGGGTTGTTTTTTAAACATTCGGTTTGAAATGATCCCATAGATAGAAGTCCAATAGTGTTAAGTCTAGTGATCGAGGACCTATTATATTGGGCCATTTCTCCCGGTTCACCTGCCATGGAAGATTTTGTTCAGCCAGACACGGGCAGATTTCGAGACATGAGCCGGGACTCTATTTTGCTGAAAAATGATGGAGCTTCTCAATCGTTTCTGTAAAAACAGATAAGGAATTCTGAAGCATAAGCATTTCTAAACAGTTGTCTTGAGTTAATGTTTCATCATCGATGACGGATGATTCGGAAGAAATGGCCCAATATAATAGGCCCTTGATCACTAGACTTAACGCTATTGAACTTCTATCTATGGGATCATTTCAAACCGAATGTTTAAAAAACAACTCTAAAAGATGTCTATAATTTAAAGGAGCCCTCTCGAAAATCGATCTCAGCCCAGGAACATCCAAATGCTATGAAACTTTGAAGATATGTTGGGGCTGTAAAAGGACGTTTGTGGTAAAATTTTCAGCCTCCTATTCTGATGCATAAGGGAGATACGAACCAAACAAGGGTCGAAAAATAGCTTATCGTGTCTCCAAAAATTCTCTATGGGTGTTCATTCAATATGCTTGATTGTTTTTTTTGTTTGAAAGAGCATGTCAGGATGATGTGCTTATCAGGATCCTTTTTTTACTCTTATCTTTTTGGAGGAAAAGGCCTGACAAGTTCAATCACTGAAAAATTTCTCAAAAATATGGCGCTCATATTATAAAATTGCTTATCCATATAATAATAACAAAGCTTTATCGAAAAAAGAGCGCTCATAGGCACTGCAGTTTTTGACGCTCTTTCAAACAAAAAAAAAATTTGACTTAATATCGGATTATAGGTGATTTTCGCTGGAGATGCGTCGGTCGACGACCATTTGAGAAAAAACGACAAAGATTTTTGAGTTTTCCCAAAAACTACTGATTTTTCGAATAGGGGTTGTCAAAAATCTTGAAAATTTTTTGGAAAAAAAGAGGTATCGAAGAAAAGTTTTTATCGTTTATGAAAGAGCAAATGACAGGCTGTCTTCCCATGTGTTTATCTCAATTGCAATGATTCTGACGAAAAGTGACTTTTTTGAGAGGGATCTCCTTAAACACTAAAATAAAGAAAGAAACCGATACAATAAGGAAAAATTTTTCTATTATGTTTTTTTTGAAATGAAAAAAATCTAAACTCTTGTAATGAAGTCAAAGGTATTACTTTCAAAGAGTATTTATGAACTTCATCTTTATGAAACAAAACTTACTAGTCTTCTCTTCCAAATATTAAAAAAATTACTAGACTAAGCTTGATTAATAATGGATTTATACGCAAATTTTAAGTGATCATGACTTTTGGGATACCCAGTACATACATATACAATCGGCTTGTTGGCTGTTAACAGATAAAAGTATGCGTTTATCGAATGATCGACTTTCTCGAGTTATCCGAACAAGTCGCGAATCTGATAACAATCGTTTTAAATTTATTGTTCACATAGTATTTTTCCTTGAAAATAAATTTAAACGAGCTTCTAAGCACATTCATGTACTTACATATTTCATAATAGTTCTAAGCGATTCTCTATATTTTCTCGTACTTCTCTGTACTTCTTTGTACTTCTTCGTACTTCTTCGTACTTCTTCGTACTTCTTCGTACTTCT